GCTTCGTTTTCAATTTTGATCTTTCGTCCCTTGGTGTCACTTCGTTTATTTCGAACGTATTTTCAGGAGAAAATCCTGCAGAATTTACCGGCTCTTTAAAGTTGTAATTAGAAAAATGTATCGTCCGGCCAATTTTTCTTTTTTCCCGTATGAACGCATAATACTTTTAATCACAGCTACCTCCTCGCTTCCCGTCTAAGAGCAATACATTTATTTCACCGCGTCATGAATATTGATGCCGGTTATACTGACGAATTTCCTATATTCTATGAAATTCTCGAATAACCGAGGTATCGTCGCTTTAATGGAGAAGTTCCACCCCGAACTTTCGGCTTCTGAGCAAATCTTTAATCGACTACGACACGATCGTTTGCACCTCATACGTTTAAAAAAAGAATATACCAATTACCACACACTCTGATTAACAATAGATTTATCGAGGATTAACTGTACTATTATTTGATGAGCATGGAAATTGGAAAAGCAAAAGCAGAAAGTAAGAAATATACCAGTACGAGTTTGCGTAATTTGTACACTTTTATGAACGAACGTACGCAAATTTATGTACTACCGTAAACAAACTATGCCAACAGAATTTTCTGAGTTTGACGTTTTTTCTGTGTTCTTTTGCTTGCGAAAAAATTCACGTACCGATGAAATTTAGAACTGCATCTTTCAATTTTCACGCTTTCAGCGTCGAAAATGCCGTATTACGTAGCCCGGTACGGTGTCCCAGCAAAAATACGGGTTTTTATATTTTATATTCGTCGGAGAGCATAAAGGGGAAACGAACGGACTTTCTTACGTTTCGGTGCGATGTAGCCCTAAGGGCAACTCCGTGCAACCCACCCATAAACGTAGAGGTGAAGGTGTACTGCTGGCGAAACGGCTGTACTTGTTGCCAATACGTGTAGCAGGATACACAAGGGCAAATACAGAGAGACGCGTTGCATATATAGCGTATAGGGTGTACAGAGAGGAGTTTTGAGGCGCGAACGACGAAGGGACTTCAAAGTTTCGGATTTTCAACTCGATTTGCTCCTTCGCGGAGTGTGTATACCGCTTTTACGCGAGAGCCTGTTAACGTACGCTGCTTCGTGTGCTTAGGTTTGCAACGGTACATTGAATTTTGAGCGCTCATATTAGCGTTCCGTATTCGCTGTTTGACTTCCGTGCACGTGTTTGCACGCGTCTGCGGGATTCCAAGGAGAATCAACTTCTTATTTCCACGTATTTTGCATTTCCTTCTATTTTCTCTCATCCGCATCCTTTTTTCTCGCTATTTTCCTTATTTTCTCCACACTTTTTTTGAAGTTCCTCAACGATTGCCACTTCACGATACTACCTTATACTTCCTTTTTACATTCTATCACTTTATAATTTCTCAGAACGATAGTTCAATTTCTCTCCGAGAGTTTGCATTCTATGTTAAATATGGTTCTTATTTTTCATTACTGCTGTGGAAGTGCTAAAATTACATTAGGAATATAAATATTTAAGAGAGTGTTTGAAACCGAGAGAAAGACGCGCTATTGAATTTCGTGTGTGTTAGGGTGTACTCGAGCCCTGAATATTGCACTACGTGCCGTCTATAGTTTTCTTGAAGGACCACCCAAAGATTGATAATGGCTTTGGGACCGTAGTAATGAGTGACGCTTCTGACTGTCTTGTCTCTGTAATCTCTCTTCTGTTACTCCTCTAAAAACCCTGTCCGGTCCCAGCACTCCCGTTTCCCTTTCCTCGTGTCCTACCTTCCATTGCGTCTTTTCTGGAAGGAGAACTGGGTTCTTCCCGAGAGAAAGTGGGAGAGATGGGGGTGACTAACTGTTCACCGTTAGGAAAAAAACCCCGGACTTGGTGACGTCGTCTTTCGCCAGGTCACCGCTTCGGTTTTTGGGGTTTATGACATGGTCTGTGTTACCGAGTCCTAAATTCTATGAACTAGCGAAACATGATTAAAAAGGTGAAAAAGGGAAAAACTAATTTTGTCACGTACCATCCTAATGCTGGTGCACGGATGGTACGCGCATTCAACAAAGGTCTCAAAGATAACTGCCTGCCTGCTCCATGTCATAAACCTCGGCAAGCTAAACTCTAACAGTGTGAATGTTTAGCCGAGAGCGATAGCTGCGTGAACGAAGAATACTTGAATTTGAATACTAGATTTTGGTGGACGCGACTGAATACGTTTTAAGAATGTCTGCCTAGAGTGAAAGATACAGAGAAATAAAGAAAGAGAGAATGTGCTAGTGAAAGCATAAAACTGGGTGAATGAGAAGCGCACGAGTGACTCCGAGAGCAAGAGTCTTGAGAGTATCATTGAGAAAGTATCATAGAGCGAGAATTACAGAGCTACAGTCATAGACAATAGTTATAGAGACATTATTGCGTTATTGTTATTCTTAAGCCTTTGTTATTAAATATAATCGTTATTGTTATGAATTTTGGTGAAATACCTGTTACACCCCAACATTCCTATACTACTCTCATTTCAAAGAATTTTTAACCTCTGTCCATTCTTTCGAAATACAAATTTCTCAAGTTTTTCTCTCAACTACCTTACACACAACGTCAACGTGAATTCTATTCAAATAGTGGTTCGTGATGTATTTTCATTTAATCACAAATTTGAAGAAATTATTTCGAAATTATTATTTATTATTTATATGTTTATTATAATTATTTCGAAATTATTCCTTAATTCGCTATACGTATATTTTGTTCACTGCACTTGCACGATTATTAAAAATGCCTTGCATAAATTGACAATTTCCGACAATTTCCAACGGTCAAAGGAAGGAACTACAATTAAATCATGTAAAACACGTAATAACTCCCCCTTTGAAGTGTCCCGAATAACTTGCAGGCAATCGAGCAACGTCGAAAATTTTCTGAAAAATTATCCTAGTTGTTGTCAAGCCAACCAACCTCCTTCTCCTCGCCCCTCCGCGCCAGGCAACGTCACCTCGTAAAAACCGTGGAAATGATATGAGGACGCATAAAGTACCGCAGTGGTCGAGCGGGCTGGCATATTGGAAACCATCCAATAACCCACTTGGCTTGCTGTATCGTTGCCACGAGGGGGATGGTAACGAACACAAAAAGAAGGGGACTCCGGCGACTGGAAGGGTGCGGAGGGGAGAGGAGTGCGGTACACAAGCAAACAGAGGGATACGCGAAATAGAAAAAAGAACAGAAAAGAAGGAGAAACAAAAGGAAAAAGGCAGAATGGAATAAACAAAGAGTGAGGCGAGAGAAAAAAAAAAGAGGCACGGGGGTGCAAAACAAGAAATTGCACAACGGGATATGGGAGAGTGGGTGAACGATAGGCTGGTGGTTCTTGTGCTGGTGAAAAAAGTCGAGGAAAGGAGCAAGTCGTCGCGTGTGCGCTGGAAATTAATTGGCCGTGGATTTCGTACGGGAATTTCTAAAAGAGTTTATCGGGTTTTTTGAAAACTCGACTCCGAAGCTTGACCCGGAGGCGAAAAAAGGGGCGAGCACCGTGCACATCGCTTCGCGACGATAGAACGTTTCCGATGTATTCGAACGCACGCGCGTGTAATTATGTTACACGTTATTGAAATTTCGTTACGTGTCATACTGCGGGGTTGCAGGTAGGCAGGCGGAGTTTTAAAATTGATGTAATCGAATAAAACCCGCGAGAAACGTCCGCGTGACTTGAATCTCGACGCAGTGTACCATCTGTTCGCGACAACTGACGCTGCATTGTATTAAAAAATATTGCCGGCTGCTCGTCGCGATACTGGAAAATGAAAAACATGACCCCGGCGATATTTGACGAACGGTAGCATAGCGATGAAATATTTCTCAACCTTCTATCTATTCCAAAATCTCTTACGATAAATTTGTGGTAATATTTGATTTGATTGGGATCAATGGATCTCTTGATGAAAATAAATCTTTTTAAAGTACCCCTTCGAAAATTACAGCTTCATATCGTCGCGATATTTCACGAAGACAAACCACGGAGTGCGAATCGATTCCTGTCTGCATTTTAATTTTCACTACCAGCAGTATCCCGGCAAAGAAAGAAAGGGAATCGCCTAATGATCGTTTCACCACCGGTCAACCGGAATTCGCCCCCTTTTTTTCCTCCATCCACCGTCGGAAATTCAGGAATAAGCGCGAAGCGCTTTCATCAGAGTTCGTGCGTGAATTTCTCGTCAGATGCGTCCGATTCGAAGTTCGAAGTTCTGCTTACCCTCCGCTGTATCTTTCTCCACGATATACTTCCTTCCACAGTGTTTAATCCTTCAACTACACCATTTTTATACGTGAAAAAAAGAAAGTAAGGTAAAACATCACGTAGAATTTATATTTAACAATTCTTATGTTTAAAAAATTCCCAACTCTGATTGGAAACGACATTAAAATTTATTACGCGTACAACTGGTCTTTTTAATAACCTACAATGTGACTCGATATTGTCAGGCAAGAGGTGGAACGCGTAAAAATTACGAAGAGTTCGTAGGATTGAAGTATTCAAGGCAATCGGTGAATGAGTAATTGAATTATTAGGCGACGAATAACGCGGTGCTAACGAAAATTGTTCACCTTAAAATTAAATGGAACGAGTGGTTCTTTTTCTCCAGACCTTCACCCACTCCCCGTCCCCTCTACCCATTCCCACCGGCGGTGCGGAATATTTCGTCGGGGCGGTAATGTAATTTCGCGCGAAAGCAAGTCCGCCCATGCAATTATTTCTTTTCGCTTTGATACCAAACACCGTGCAATTCCGCGAAATTCCTGGATAACGAACCGAGCGTGTCCCGTGTTTAAAAGGTGAAAATGTCAAACGCGACACCCTCCTTCCCTATTTCACGCCAGTTTTCACTTAATGTTCGTGGCCGTGTCGCGTTTTCATTTTAATGAATGATCCACGTGTTATTAGCGTCTTTTCGCCGTTCGTCTCGCAGCACCCTAGTTCCCGCAAGAAAGAGAAAAAGAAGAGAAGAAATTCTGACAAGATCTCTGCTTACCCTCGAGTGTTCCACTGTAGGCGTGCAGCGGATCGAACGCAATTTGTCGGCCGTTCGACCCCTCGAAAACGACGTTCTCGTGGAATAAGCTTGTATCCCTTGTGAGCCTCATCTTGAACACCCTGAAACAGAAAGCAGATGAGATTTCACATGAGAGAGGCTTAAATGAAAATCGAACGTTCTTTGATCTAAAGTGAGTTAATCTCGATGACACGATCATTCTTGTGACTATTCTAAAGGAGACCATCTTAATTTAGAATCATTTTTCGTTAACGAAATTTTATCACGCTAGTCCAGGGATTTTTTTTTATCAAACCTCCTGTAGTATAAAATTAAAAAATTCTGCTTTTCTTAGATTAAGAAGTCTATCTTCAAAATTTCCAAAATTTCACTTCCCTTCTTCGAAATATGTATGTACTTCAGAATTTCGGCTACGATGCTTCTTCTATCATCGTTTACAAGTGACACAGTAGCAAAAGGAATAATAGGTTAATCAATATTTGCACCCAATAATCCGTACAATCTGTTTGACTATGCTGCTCGTCAAATAGTATAACTACTACTGGTTTATTGGACGATTTGATTACTGTTGTATATCCAAACAATCGTTATTGCTATAGATCGACATATTCTATCAATTTTTTATCCGGTATAGAGAATAAAATTGAAATAATAATTAAGAGTACCATATTAGATAATAGTAGCTTTGAAAATGATAACTCATCCAGAGGTTAAACATTTCAATCGAAAGATAAACGACAGAAAAATAATTTAAAAGGGGAATAGATATTCCGTGATATTTTTCGTTCGATAACAAACGCCCGTTGACGTATGATGTTTCCGTGGAAACCGCCGCCGTTGTAAATGTAATTCAGCCTAGATTTATTATATTCGAAACGATGAATTACAAACGTTGCGCCTCTGCGCGGCTACAATATTGGTTTTGAAAAGGGATCCGATCGGCTAAAATATGGCGCTGTAACAATAAATTTAATAACAGTCTTCGTTTGCCCCGGGTTCGAATTGACTTTACGCCGCTCTCGATCGACTGCTCTTTCAACTCGTAATCGATTTTCAATCGTTTCCCAATTATTATGATTAGCCACCATCCACTTTCATCTTCTTCCCTTCATTGTGTCCTCGAATTTTTTTAATTGAATGTCTCGATTGTTTAAATCCTACGCCTTCTCTTCAATCAATGAATTACACATTGTTCCCGATCTACCGCAAAAATTGAACATGAACAAAAGTCATTTTACATTTTCGTATTTTCCTAAATGTAGCTTTTTTGCTGAATATTTTATTGCATCTTGAATAATGCAATTTCACTGAAATTTCTGAACAATCAGGTTGAGAATCACTGCGCCAAACTGAACTTCACGGGGGACAAGTGTGTCACGTAATAATCGCGGGAACGCGACGCAACGAGGACCACATATTACGTTGTAACCAGTCCCTTACGTGTTCCAGTGACTCACGCGCGACCGGTTTACATGCAGCCGTGCACCGGCTAGTATTATACAATCGATAATCCGATCGAGGTGGTAGCGTAGTAGGTGGAGGTGGGTACATCGATGTTTTCACCTAATTATTGTCTAAGCCCACGATATCCTATCGATCGACGTGGCTGACTCTCCTTCTATGGCTCACGCTCTTTCCGCTGATTTCAATCATTCATCGCAGAGTACAAAGCCTCCCGCGCGCCACCGGCCATTTATGCACGTGGATGTCACCGTAATAATGTAACTAATGAGACATTGAAAGCAACGCGTGCAGGATTAATCCACGCTGATGAAGTGGCCAGGGACAGGCAAGATTAATGAAACCCGGTAATTTCGTGATCACGGCGAAGAGAGATCGATGCCTTTCGACGTCTGTCGATCATTCTTCTTGCGTACAGTTTTTCGTTCCGACGCAGAGATGAAAGGGAGGGGAAATACTGTCATCTGAAAATGAGAATGGATGACTTTTGACTGGAAGCGTAATTTCCAATAGGGACTCGAAGGGTATGCCCCAAGTTTTCAGGAGTTCCTCCATTCTGAAAAGTTTCTGTTTGACTTGGATCACGTGTAAGAAGACAAATTTCGATCTGATTTCTCGGAGAGCCACGATTTTACATGTTGGTTCGAATGGAAACAGGAGAATCGAGCGGAACGTGAAACGTAAACATTTCACGTATCGAAAATTTCAGTTTTGTTAATTTACCAGTGAAATTAATTATGAATTTCGTCCAATCGAATTTGTACGGTGGTTTGCATGCATCGCGTGTACTGTAAATTGAAGTGTACATGGGTTATTATATTCTTATAAATTGATATTGCGATGTCAGGTGGTTCACTAATAAAATTACCAATGTTACCATGCACTACCGGGGAGTGTTAATTACCGTATTGTTGCGCCAATAGTCATTTCATGCGACCTGACGTGTGATTTAGACGATGTGAAACGCAAAAAAATCTCGTCACTGCGACTGATGTCCCTCATTTGGACTTTTTACGCGTACAATGTGCATTGCCCGCTGTTTAAACGCGTTAAAAGCGTATAATAGTAATGAGGGCGAAAAAAATCATACATATTTATGCGCGCGAACACTCGAAGATTTAACATCCCTGCAAATGCGTATTATGCGAAAGTAATTATGGAATTGGAAGGTCGAAAATTTACATTCGAGCGGAGGAGGGAGCTGGGGGCGGGGGGTGAATTCGAATGGCCAGGATTTAATGAATTTCCATAATGGACCAGGTCGGAACAGGCAACGAGGAGCTTTAGCTCGATGGAAAAACTGCTTAAAACACGTGCACACCACGCTGTTTCCTCAAGAAATACCGCTCACCTTCCAGCCCCCGTTCGTTTCTCGTCAGGAAAATAATTTCTTTTTCTTCTTCACACCAATACCTTTTAAGCATCAAGGGTAATAGCGATTTAAACTATTATACATGCATGTAGGAAAAATGAAAAAATATATCTGAGAACTCTTGAAATTTAAACGCAGCTTATGTAGAAAGATTGAGAGAAAGGTAATACATAGTTCAAATGGCACGTTCGATTGCACGAATTTCCCCAAAGTTTCATAACACGGCTAGCGAAACTCATTAGCCAACAATTTTGATTAAAATTGAGTTAACTATCTGATAATTCGTTTCTGTTCTCACGAGTGTCTCGCGTATCTCGAACAAATCTCGTTAAAATATTCCGCCACTGGTTGCCGTTAGTTTGTCGCGACAAAAAATTTAATGAGCCACGAATGTAAGCTATGAAACAGTGGTGAATTAGCGACGAAACGAAAAGAAAAACTAATTAATCTCGCACGACACAATAATAATACAACGGTACACCTCGTTTCTGAAACGTGGTTAGATAATTCTCAACTTTGAAACGTAGTTTCATGACAATCGTCAGCATTCATGGAGGAAAAGTCGGCTCGATAATAGCCTCGTTTCCAGCGTAATAACGGAAACCACAGAACGGAAGAAGAACAGGGAAAATAAGGAAGCGGATAATAACGGGCATAAACGATTCACCGGCGTAGAAGTTACTCAACGATAACCGTATTGCATTAACGTTAATACGAAACGATGTTCAGAGGAGCTCTATATCGAAAGACGCGGAAAACTCGTCCGCCACGGTGGATCTCGCGATACAACCTCGAATTCTCTCGTTGTAGTTGGAGGAATAGTGTTGGAGGCTGGATACTTTTGGTTTCCAGAAACGCACGTGCAGTTCCACGTAAGCCCTTCAATTACGAGATCGTCATAACTCTGAGCAACTCTGAATGATTCTGTCCCGAGAATAATTTTCTATGAAAAAATAGACAGGTACAGAAAGTAATTGGCTGGAGGACTTGAAACAACTCGTTAAGTATGCAGAATATTTGAACAATATCGATCATCAAGAAAATCACAGGTATAGATTGTCAAGAAAATAAGCAAAGTAGTCGTTTGTAAATTGTTTGGATGTACTACATAGTATCACGTTTGGCTATTCAAAAAAATTTGATTGTAAATCAATGGAATAAATCTCGAAAGACCGCCGCGCTTGTAAACTCTTTGTCCTTAGTGGAGGCGCACTGGGAATATCGAGGATTGAAGGAGCTCATTAGGAAATAATTTATGGTATCTAATGGCTCAGTGCCTTTGAAAGACAGCAATCAACAGTTTCGCAGAATTCATCCGCGAAATTGCCAAGTTCGTCGTTGCATTATGTAAGGAGGAACGTGAGATTGTCGCGTGAATCTTAGGGGAGCCATGCATAGGAAAGTTCTCTTCCTGGAAACCGTCAGAGCTTTCCATTTCCCTTCCGCGCGACAAACAACTGAACGAACACCGACAGCCGACATATCGAACGTATAAATCCATGACTCTTTACGTTTCTCGTGTCTGCCACGCTCTCGGGAACTCGTGAAATTGATATACGGAGACACGGAGAAAAGTTTTAATACGAAGGGGGCAACTCGATGCAACTTTCCATCGCTGAGATATGGATTATGTAAAGCGGAAATTGTACGAACCTTCTTAACCTCTTCTATGGTACAACATTTCAGATTTTCGACATATTCCAGACAGCGTTATTGCTACCGATACAATCAGAAAAGCATCGGTTCATCTTTTTCACAGAAAAACCTGTTGCTCCATTTCTCTACCATTGGATATCATTACTGACAACGTGAAATTACCACGTTCGCTATGATACTAAGCAATTTAATAATTTCGAAAGTTGTACGACACACAGGGCAACAAGTTTCAGCGTGAAAACTATTCTAATAGTTGTCCGGATAAACCAGAGGCCACGCGGGTAAGCGACAGTGACGCTGATACTCTCGAATTATTCGCGCGCGTCGAATACCACGTTGGCAAAGAAATCGGCGGACACTGGTCAAGTATGCAAACGACATTCGCGTTAGACACGTGGGCGGAACAACTATTTCGAAGTTTGGATATGTATCTGAGCGACATTGCTCGCCAGATACGGAGTATCGCGTGCAGATTTGCATCGGACGTGCCTCTGTGACACACTGGAACCCCCCGAACGAAACGCGACGCGACACGCTCGAAACGTCCTTCGCGACCTGACGTTTCTAATTACGATTTCGAGAAATTCGAGTTATCGATGGAATTTCTTAATA